TAATGATTTTTACCAATTACCTATTGGTGAATAATTAAATAGAAAATAATAGAAAACTCGTGTATTACAATAATACAAGTATGTATTTTTAAAATTTTATTTATATATGAAGATATATATTATAATAGAAGAAATGCTTCAATTTCAACTTCAATATATTTTTCGATAAGAAAGTGCATCTATAGATGTCCTTTTTTTTAAATTTTTTTCTAAAGGGGGGGATAAATGTAAAAAAATATCCTAGTATTTTTCTTAATAATTGGGAAAAAACCAATTTTTTACAAAATTCTTTTAATTATTTTGTTTTAATTTGAACATGAATAATTCGTACTATTTTAATTTTTTTTTAATACTTAATTTTAAGTTATCATTTTTTGTACAAGGTATAATTTACAAAATATATTGACTATTTTTAAGATTTTTATAAATATCTAAAATTATTATCGATTTTTAAGTATTGATAAAAACAATTAGGTTTGGTCAAAAAGCTTGAAAATTCAAAACAAAATCTTACAAAAGTTGTTCTTTAAGAAACTTAAAAATATTTAAGCACAATATGACTTTTTTATAGGCATTTGAAGTTCAAATTTTAATAAAATACAACAATTTATAAAATGTTCAATTTTTATAGTTAAAACTCGAAAAATTAATACAATGAATTATGATCCTAATAAATATATCTTGAGATTATTACGTATACATGTAATCTAAGTTAAAAGTTAATAGCAATAATATATCAAATTAAATATAATATAAATACTATCAAAATAATTAATAATTTAATAAATGCGATATTTTCGGCAAAAATTTATTATTTAAATTGTATTAATAAGTATTAATAGTAGTAGAAAAAATAAATTACTATGATAGCAATATAAATGTGAATTATGTTAAGTATATACTATTAGTATGTAATAATACTAACAAACCGTATCATCAGCTCAGAATCGAATTTTGTATACAATTTTAGATTATTGAATTCAAATTTAATGCATCCATTATTACAATGAACAGCTCAATATTGAAACACTTAATACCTATTATTTAACAAAACAGTTATCTATTTGTTGTCCATTGTTTTAATAGTAATTTTAAAATGGAAAAATAAGATAAAAATATTTATTGTAATCGAATTTTTTAAGTTATAACTTATAATTAATAAAAATTAAAATATTTATTGATTAAATAGACGTTCTTTTTATTTATTTTAAATATGCTTATTAAAATTTAAAAAAATAAAAGATATTGCATCTATTATAATGAGCAATATAATAAAAATTGGCTTAATTTAAGTTTAAGATACAGAATTTAATTTCAGAGGAAATTTTCGATAAAATTAATCAACTTGTTTATTTAAAAATTCTACAAGCAATCTATCTGAAAAACCAATAAAACAATAAATCGAAATAAGATATAATGTAAAATTAATTTTTAATGGATCTTAAACAAAAATCTACTATATAAATCTGGTATAACAGTAATTTCAGACCAGAGTGGTCAGTTAAACCCATAGAGAAAGTTTTTGTGATACCTATTAGCCAGTGGCATTGGTGACGGGAAATACCATTATGACGAATTCATTATTGACGTCATGGGACTTCTCTCCCACCAATATTAATACTTCGTAAATTTAAATAATTTAACAATATAACTACTTACATTAATATTACAGGGTCAACTTTGTATTATGTTTTCAAAAGAATATTTAAATTTTTAATTAATAAACAAAAAAATAGTTAACTACATGTTTTTGAAATAAAATTCAATTATTTAATACCTAGTTAGAAGTTACTTAAAATATGATGGATTATGTTATTATAACATTTATTTTTTAAGAGGATGTAAGCACACTGTTTTCTTTCTCTGGCCCATCACAAATGAACAAAATCACATAAAACTGATATTTTTTAAATTTTTTTTTTTTAATTTTTGAGTTATCTTATAACGAAATTATCTATAATAAAATGTATGAAAAATAATATTTTTGAAGAAATAACACATCATCATTATTATAATAATTTTATAAAAAAATGAATACGCATTAATTTAAATTTACAAATTATTTTTGTTTTTTAAATCATATTTAAAGTAAAATTATTAATAAAACACAAAGCTGGTTAATCAAACCCTTAAATATATTATTCTTAAAATATTTGTAAAAGGTGATTTTACTTAAAAACTAATCAAAACAATAATTTTAAATTTTATCTTTGTTCAGTATCAAAGGAAAAAAAATAATGTTCTGGTGTTTACTTAGAATTTAGTATGATTAGTTATGGTAATCAGACTGAATTTAGCAAATACACCTACTCAAAAATGTTTTCAACATATAAACAATTAATTTAAAAAAAAAAAAATACATGACAGAAATACTATTAACTTAATTTTTTAGATATTTTAATAAATAACATATAAAAGCAAAAATTGCAGGCACATAAATTCATATCTATGATTAAAATTTAAAATAATTTGTTTCAATACCAAGTAAACCCAGAACCAATTTTAGGCAATCAAATATTAAGATACAACTAAGAAATTATTATTTATGACATTTTAGAATAATTTAATATTTATCTATAACATTCATTATATATATATATGCAAATAAACCTTTGAAACTAAGCAGTTTACTGCTTAGCATTTTAACGATATCACTCCATATGTTTAGTTTGTAAATTATGTTTACCAACTGTTCTTTATTTATATAATATATAGGTATGTTAAAAATAATTTTAAAACTCCTATTGCAAATATTATAATAAACAAATACATATTAACCAAAGCAATAGTGATTTATGCCTGCAAGATATTGGGACTTTAACCAGTAGACAAGGACTGATAGTGGCAGTGGAATGTTCATATAAATATTAATTGTTAAATAATTCAATATATGGTCATAGGGAAAGATAAATAAAATAAAATTATGTTTAAAATATTATTAATATTATTAAAAATAAAAATATATTTACATTATTTGATAAAAAAAATATTCATACTTTATAGTAACAGTTTAGTATTATATATATATATATATATTTTTAAAATTGAATATTATATTCTGTTTTTATTTAGTGTAAAATATGAGTTATATTGTTTAGTAATAACTAATATGAAGACAAAATGTTCTACAAAACTTCAAAATTAGCATGCATTTAAATACTTAAGAAATCACTAAATATATCTAGGACAAAATACATTTTTTGGCCAGTCAAATACATTTTTATTAGTAGTCTGTTAACGTAAGTAGATACATATTAAAAATAATTCATAAACAGTATGTTAACTTGTTAATTAAAATAATTTTCATTAATATATTTTAAATTAATAAATAAGCTACTAGTTAAATTTAATATTTAAAGAATATTGAATGTAGTTTACCTTAGTGGTAAGTAAGATTTAAGAAATTTTATAAATAACAAGGTCAGAATGATATAAAGTAACATGTTTGATACCATCCTACAAAGAACAATAAAAGTAAATAAATTATTTTAGAACAATAAATTCACTCAATATGAATTTAGTTTTATATGTCATGTTTGTTTTTAAAGAAGTATTGATAAAAAAATAATTAACTTGCAAATAACGCTTAACATATTTAATTAATAAAATTAATATTTGTAAACTTTCAACAGTTTTATTTATACATGATAACAACAATTTAATTTTAAGCACAAATAAATATCCGAGAAATTAGTGAAACAAAAAAAATAAAAATAGATTTCATTTTCACAATTTGTTATGAATAAAGATGAATATGTGACCAATAAAATAAATTATTTATTTATTTATAGAATATACGGGCATAAGCCTGTATTTAAGTATAGAAAAAATATTACAAACAATACATATGAATAATCTTAAAACTATTAATTTTCAAAAAAAGACTAAAAATAAGGGATCTATATTTGCATGAGACATAACCACCTCTAATTGGTTCATTATTCATGTAGTTAGTAGAAGCAAGGAATAAAAAAAGGAGTAGTTGTTCTAGTTGCACGCTAAGGAATCTTAAAGATTAACAAGGAGACAAGGATGGAAGAATCCACTTTATTGTACAAAAGCCCTTTCAGGAAAAATATATCTCCTCAGTGAACTTATTAAATTTAACATTTTAAAACATAACTAGATTCAATTTCAAAATTAACAACTTATTGATAATTCGGGTTTTTTTATTTGAGCAACATAATAACATAATAGTCAAAAATAATTTAATACTTTATTAGCTAAGACAAATATTATGTATAATTTAAAATATTGCTTTTTTTAAACTTGAATTTATATTATGCTATTTAGTATTATATAATATGAGTTTCTAAAATCAAAAAAAAAAAAAAAAGCTAAAGAAAAAATGAAAACTTGCATACAAAATAAAAAAAAACCCACAAAAAAGACCACCTTCAAGAAAATTCATAATTATTTTAATGTTTAATTATAGTTGACATTTTAATTATTTGTGATAACTTTTCTAAAAATCTGTTAACAATAATGATAATAATTTTTTAAGTTGCAACAAATATAAATGTTGAAGCATTTTCTAGCTTTATACATTTTTTTCAACCATCATATCATAAGTATAGTTTAATATTGTATTATATTTAGTTTATTTTAATATAAATTAAATAGTAATCTGTATAACGACAACTATCTTGTTAAATTTTAAAATAATTTTGTGTTCCTCGTATTTATCAATCACTGATATTATATTATTTCAAAAATTGACAGTGGCAATAAAACATAAGATCTTCACTTTTTTTTAAAGTAAATTATATTAAGTACATTTTCACTCCTAAAGTTTAATTTTTGGAACATAACATTAGAATTATATTTTCTATAATTTAATTGGTAATAGAAATAATAGTAAAAATAACCAATTTTATAACTATTATATTAAAATTAATTAAAAATTATAGTATAATAAGAATAATAAGTTTATTATCACTATAACTATTTTTTCGAGTACGATAATATATTTAGTAGTAATATTTTAGGAAATTACTTACGGCCAAGATGGTGGTAGCCACTGATGAAACAGCTGAATTATTATTGTTTGATGAAGAAAGAGAAATTGCAGGCGGTGGAGGAGGTAAAACAATTGAATCAGATGATGAGATTGTTTGATGTAACAAATCTGAAGAATTTTGTTGTTGTCGATTTGAAAACATTATTGATGGCCTTGTAAGTTAATCTAAAAAAAAAGCAAATGTGAAAGATGAATACTAATAAAATAATTTTATAAAAACAAAGTATGCATAATTTGTTTAAATAACTCAAATTCAAGTAATTTTTTTTTAAATATTTTTCTTCAAAAGGTAAATAAAAATAATGAAATAATAGGTATTATACGTCTGTTGTTTACCTGGCAGATTTTTATTTTATAATAAATTGAACTACTGAAGTTAATTTTCAATTGATAACGAACGATGATCGTGTTATCACGATAACATTTTAATGTTTATGCATACTTATATTTATTATCAATTCAAAAAATAAAAAATAGAATTAGGGCTTACAAATTATATTACTCTACTATAATAGCATTACAATATCATGAACGGTGTGACAAGTACGTATTTAGTATAAATAAACTCCGGTACACAATATAGACAAATATTTAATCAGAAATTAAATTCAAACACTTGTGAATGCACGGATAAGACAAATGAGTCATTTGTCGAAATATTAATAGATAAAAGTACGTACCTTTATCTATATAAACTATTAATCTATATACCCAGGTACGACTTTTGTCAACAAAATGAAAAAAAAAAATTGCAGTGTTAACTTACGGGCGTACCCAAGTGCCCAGTGATTCGATACCGCGTTTTGAAGTGCCAACCACTCAGACGAGTCGGTGGTCAAGAAAATTTGACGTTCATAGAAAAATAAAATATATCAGAACCGAAAAGAAAACGCGATAAAAGTATTGCGCGTATGAGATGTTTATTCTGATGACTCATCGCCCGGCACTATGTAGTGGGGCAACGATTTTTTTGGGTGGCAGCTGTTGTGAACGGCGTTAGGAAAAGTGGGGTTACGTAAAGTGACGTATTAGAACGATACGGGCAACGACTATTGTGTTGTAGTAATAGTAATAATAGAAATAGTAGTAGTAGTGTAGTAGTTGTAGTAGTAGTAGTGGTAGTACTAGTAGTAGTAGTAGTTGTTGTTATAGTAGTAGTAGTAGTTGTTGTTATAATAGTAGTATTGATGGTTATATGCGTCATGGCCCGCGCAATAATATATCGTAGAGGAGTAACGATAAAATAACAACCGGAGGGGAGGCGCGAATAGAGTCAATATTATATCGTTTAGCAACGATTGTTAGCTTGTTAGCTGTGTAATAAGAAAAATAAAATAGGTAGGTGACCACTTAGCGAGTTGGAATCGAGTAGTCGACGATAAAAATATTGTAAAATTTAAACGTATACCTATATCTAATACCTACACGTGATAATATATCAAATATCAATAGTAAAAATATCTATTATTTTAATAATTTTTAATAAAGTTTATTCGGTACTCACACGAGTATTAAATTAAATAACCTATGGGTATAGGTACACTGTACAGTGTATACCTGTAGATTTATCTACAATATATACATAGTCACGTTGATGACGTAAACGTACGCCCATCGTAGGCCTATATGAATAATAAATTAATAAATATTATATTAATACTGTTTGTGTCTTTTTATCGTGTATAATAGACAATGAACTAGTATTCGTATCATGTGTGCAATATAAAATATTAAAATAATAATTCGTTTTATAAATTACCTATACGATTTATCTAACTATACGTGTTTTTGATGCGTTCATGGTTCATCTATAATAATCAACTAATAGCAGTTTTCTAATATTTATTAATCTAATCCAACTAAATTTTTAAAATCTAACTTAGTAAAATTCATTAGTTTTACTAGTTCGAGTTCCTAGTATCCCAGACTCAATATTTTACAATCCGACAAAAAGTCACAAATTATTATTTATTAAAATATATATTATTTAAACGACAAATCGAAAGCTTTCCCAGTAAGTACGCTCCATTTGCGTAGTTCATCGATCATCGTAAATTAGCTCTTCAATACTCAATGATTTCTCTTTCTATTTTTCTGTTTTTAATATTGTTTAAAAAAATTTTAAATAATAATGTTCATTATTATCCAATACCTATCCTTACAATCAAATTTATCAAAAATGTTCGTATCTCTCATCTGAAGCGCGATCCAACCATCTAGGTACCAATTGGGAATTATATACTTAAGAATAACAGCATAGCTTTTGTTCTTACAAATTACAATCAAATTATGTGATCTAAAGTTCTTATTTATTTTTCATCTATGTATAATTGTTATTTGTTAACCGCATATACCCCGTTAAATAGTCATTCTTATGAGAAGATTTGCTTATTATGGGATATATAAAGTTTGCGGTCGGTTCCTACATTTGTGTTCAGTTTATCACAATGCTACAACAAAGTCAACGTTTAAAAATTTTTTGTAATTTGTCTTTACTGATTATTGAGATGTAATTTAAATTTTAAATTAACAAGTATTTACTGTTTAGTAGTTAATATTAAATATTGTGAACAGAGATGGATTTATATAATTGTCGTCTTAAGGTAAATTTTATCCCCTTCCCAGTAAACTTATCCATAAGTAAAACGTATTTTTAAGTACCTATTTATTTGGTATAAGTGTATAACCACTAAAAAACATCAACATATAGACTGATGATACTAAACAATAATTGGTCATATTCATAAGCTGCTCTAATCGAAAAAAATAGTATACCAATATAATGTTTACTGAAATATAATCTATCACGATGTTTTCGAATAAATTAATTCTACCAATTAAAACAATTACAACAACATACATTAATGAACAAATAAAATTTTACTGGTGTAAAAAAAAATTAAAAAAAGTATAGGAAGCAATAAACACTTAAATTTAATTACTGCTTGTTGATTTATTACACAATAATTTTATTACTTTATACTATAAAAACTATTTCATTTGAGTAGACTGTATAGTTAAAATAAAACGTTGAAAATAATCAAATGTTTCATCAGAATAAACACACATTGATAATACCCATTCTCTACTTGGCCGCTCTCCATTTCACAGTCATAAAGAAATCAAAACAATCATCACAATTTTACCTTTCTGATAGAAAAATGTATTATTTTTGCATGCGTATTTAATATTCACATAATTACTGTGGCTCTAATTTGTAATTAGATTTAATATTTTTTACTTTTTCTATTAAAGTGAATAATAATATTCTTTCATCTTAAATAATAGTAAGTAAATAGTAATTATTTAACAGAAACATTGAATTAAATAACCAAAAACTGATAAATATTTATTAAATTAAATTAACTTTTGGGTTATGAAAATGTATTAATATATTATATTAAGGCATATAGGTAGGTAGATTCCTTTAATTTTAAAAATTAATTATCAAAATTACTTCACAAAATTTAAAAAAAAAACCTAGTATTTTTAATAAAATATTAGTTTAAATTTTTTTTTTTAAATATTTGAAAATTTATTGGAATTATAAAATATTAATTAAAGGAATAAACGTGAATTAGATACCTATTCCTATTGTTTTACAATTATATCATCAGGTTTCCAGGTGGTTTTCTTAAAAATCAATCTAATTGTAAAGGACCTATCTATATAATCTACAAACCTAAAAATGTAGGAAAGTGGGTACTGCTCTGCTGTGCATTAGGTGTCGAGTGGGTCATTATATTATGAGTGTGTTAAATTTAAATTCAATGATATAATATTGTACATTTTAAGCTGAGATGGTCTGTCAGCCTATATTACTAAGTATATTTAATAACGATATGTTTTTTTGATAAAACTATTGAAATCATTTATTTTAATTTTAGTATTACGGTAGGTTACTGGTTGATATAATTTTTTCCTACAAATTCTGTGTCAGCCCAAGACACCGGTGAATCAGGTGGTCGCCCAGGGTGCCTCCAGAATAGGGGCTTCAGAGATGCATTTGAAGGTGTTCAAAAAATTGTAAAAACTTATACATTTTTTTTTAGTTAATGAAATAATGAATTAATATAAATATATTAATAAAATAATATACATTATAATAATATTACCACACACTATGACTACAACTTTGGGGCACAATAACTTAAAGATCAGATTTTGCATGAAATGCATGTTGCTATTTTCAACATCATAAATATGCAGTCAATGAGTGTCCACAAATCATTAATTGATTGATTAAGTATTAAAATTTTATACTGAATATTTTTACATATTTTAACAAAAAAACTGTACAAATATACACCTAACGATTCAAAAAGATGCTGAACAAAAAAAAAACAGATTATATGTACATTTGTATAATATCAAATATTTTACGTCTTAAAGAATTACCCTTTAATAACTTATTGTTTTTCCAATTAACATACTACATTAAACCGTATTTTTTCCTATTTATATCACTAATGTATCTACTATTTAATTTTAATAAAATAATTTTTACAATGTATTACCTAATAATAAAAATTAAATTACATTATTTTTTTTTACTGTATTTCGCTATATATATATATAATATAGTAAATAAACAGTATTATATACTTTTTGTTTATGAGAATTTAAATAAAAATAATAAATAATTATCACTGTAAAATTAAAATTTAATATAAAATTTAATGAAAATTGAAATTTTATTTTGCATGTTGTATATTTTTTCTTGCATATTTTGATTTTTTTTGGTGCATGTTTGCATGCATATTTTACAATTTAAAATGCATACAAATCAGGTCTTTACTTAAAATCATCGTCACTACTCTCTACCACCGTACTAATTTATCTGATGCCGACGGTTAGGTACCTATGGGCTACAATATTGTATACTATATTATGAATGTTTAATTATTATAATAATATATATATATATATCATATTTTATCAACTTATATATCTCAAAACTTAATAACATTAATTTGTAAATATCGTTAAACAGTCAAAATAAATGATATCATAAAATAAATTAAAAATGTTATTAAAAAATAAAATAGTTGGTAATAAATAAATTAAAATTCATGATCATACAATATACTTAAAAGTTTTAAGTTTCCAGGAATAATATTTTTAAATTATAACTAAATTATATAAAAACATCATTATTAATTTACATTTAAATAAAAATTTCGTCCAAATTTGAACTTAACATATCTATAGAATTTAATTGCCTTTATATATATTTATATTTTAACGTTTAAGACGTTTAAGTATGGACTATACATAAGGAATTTTTTAATAAATTACCAAAAATTAGATATAAAATAGTTTTAAAATTTAAATTTAAATACACATACAAAAATTGTGCTTATATATTATTGTTTTTATATAATTATACGAAAAACTTAGGTGAAATATAATTGAATTCAATTTTCATAGAATTTTGACACAGTGAATACTTTTTTATCAACAATTATACAAAAAATATTTAAAAAATTAAAATTTCTCATACTTATATAAAAAAAGAATTAAAATATTCTAAACATTTTATCATATAATGCAAATTATAATATAAACATTTTTCGAAAATTCCAAGTATCTACAGTTATTTGTTTTTGAATCACCACAAAAAACAATACCTAGTTATATGTAAAAAAATAAATATTATTGTTACAAGTGAATAAGTAGGTCGTAAAAATTTGAATTTCAAATGATCATAAAAATTAATTTGGTTCTTCAACAGAATAATTTTTTAAATAGGTTGAAAAACTTCTAAAGAATCATGTGTTGATTTTTCAAATCTTATGTATAAACAGAAAATATTTTTTTATATTTCTAATTACAAAATAACTTGTATTATTCGAAATTTCCATTAATTATATTAAAATTCCAGTTTTGAATGCTTATAAAAAAATATTGTCACAGTAGATTTTCGATAATTGTTAATTGAGAAATTTATAATTTAAGAGAAATTTTGTATTAAATTTTCAAGCATTTCTACCCAGTAAGTAATTTTTAATAGATATTAAAAACAATAAAAATTTCTTTTGCCTTTAAATAGCTTATAAATAGTTGAAGAATTATTTCGAAAATTTTATCGAAAATAGAAAATAATATTATAATTTGGTAATAATTTCAAAAATCTAGGATTATTTTCTCTAGAATTATAACAACAGAACAAAATAAGATTTTTTTCAAAAATTGAATTTGCATAAAAATTGACGTTTTTCGTTTTTTTTTTTTTTTACCAGATTATAAAATAAGTACAGTGAATTTTTTATTTTGACCTCTTTAAAAAGAACAAATTAGAAAAAATTTAATATTTTAAATCACCATTTTCTTGATTATTGTATAATCAAATATAAAAAAAAAATTACTCATCATTGTAAAATCAAAACAATTATTATCCCGCTTAATATATAAAATTAACGTTGGTGTTTAAGGTTTTAAAATTTAATACATTTTAAAGTTATAATTCTTGATTTTTTTCTAATGATGAAATGTCATTTGCAAAAGATGACTAAACAAATTTAAAGTTGCAAATAACACTCCATAGTATAACTAATAGTTGTTCTGATATGAGTTCATTTTTATACCTAACAGATTATTTTAAATATAATATTTCTCAATATTTTTTTTTTTTTATCGTAAATAATAATTTTATTGTTTTAATACTAAAACAGATTTATATAACATCAATATACGCTGAATGTGGTGATTTGAGAGGGATTAATTCAATTACTGTGTCCATAATTATTAAAAAAATTATCCTAAAAAGATATGATAAAATAGAAACGAGAGAAACAATACATCAATATTAAACAGAAAATGCAGAAAGTCAGAAAATAACAGATCATACACTTCTAATTATTTTATTTTAGTATATTATACTACAGAGTTAAAATTAAATTTACTTTGCTTTATAGTGTTTAATGATAATGTTGTTGTGAACATACTAGCATAATTAAAAACAATTTTATTTTTATAAAACTTCGATTACAACAAAATTCATAAATATTTACTATGCAATCATAATTTTATGGATGACATAAAAAAATCCATGAGTTACCAATATAACAAATAAACTAAATTATATAGCTCATCAAATCAAGACTATACAGGTATAAAACTACTAACCATCTTATGTTTTGCAATTATACTTTTGATTTTTGTCAGTATTGGCTTTAGGTTGATGTACTTAATATAATATACTTAATTCAATAAAGTGATAAAGTATTTGATTTCATGAATTATAAAGTTATTATTTATATTTTTAAGAAATTTGGGTTTGGAGAATTACTTTTATTTTGGTTTAGACCTTACTTTAATGACAGGTATCAATGACGTTAGCACTTTTGAATTTTGATATTATATCATGGTTTTTGTTATTTGTTAATTTTTGATTCAGTAATTCCATTTTTTAAATGAGAAACATCAAACAAGAATATACATATATACAAGATTCATTTTAATAAGGAATTAATAAAATCACATATTTATTTCAGTAATAATAGCAAATTGCATATTCATATAATCGCACATAAATATAATATATAAATAAATATGACTATAAACAGTTATAACTTTTTACTAAAACATGAATATATATATGAAAAAAAAAAAAAACTAGAAGAAATTTAGATTTTATATAAGTCTTTTGAACATAATTTAAAAAAAACATTAACAATTATTGCCAGTGTAATAAGTGTTTATTATATGCCAATTAGTATTTATTGAAAAAAAAAATAATTAATTTATTACTTTAATTTAAAATTTACAAATAAAAAAAGTATATTATAAAAATAAACTTAAGGTATATGTGAAAAATACTATACCTGATACAATTTGAATAATATTTTTGTAATTAATAAAATAACTGAGAGAAAATCTCAAATAAATTATGATTAATATGATTTTAAAATAATTCACAACTTTAACAATAACACAATATTTAACTTGTAATCTAATCTAAAACAAAGGTTTTTAATAAAATTGATAAAGTTACAAGAGTTACAAGTTGTTGATATTGAAACTTTTCAAATTTTTTGCTGCACCATTGTCATTATTTTCAATTTCATCTCCAGCATAATCTATGCTATTATTATCAAATGGTTCATTATTGGAACGTGTATAACTAGTAATAGCTACTAGTAAAATCACAATAATTAATAAACAAAAAATAATTATTGTGACGATTCTTGTAGGACTATTATCTTCAACTTTGTTATTTGCACTAAAAACAAGAAAAACAATAGTACTTTAATAATTTATAATATACAAGCTAAATTTTTTAACAAAATAATAATGTATAATAGCACTTTAAATAATTATTAGGGGTTAATGTGGTTTTTTAAATGTTTAAACATGGTAAACTAGTGCACTATTTTGTTAATAGATTAATTAATTTGCTTAATAAGATAAATAATAAATTGATAAATTATTATTATGGGTAAGTGCTCTGTAATGTATGTATTTTTGGTTATAAGAGTATTTTTCATAACCCTGTATTAAGCAAATGTAGTCAAATGCTGATATGTTGCTGAATTCTATTATTAATAACAAATCAATATTGGGAATTTAGCAATGTATCAACATATTTTTTTTTTTATTAAGGTAGGTAATTTATTTATTACTAGTACTTAAAAATATGGGTACATTTTAACTTGAATTCATAGAATGGAGCATAATATAATAAAATACAAACTATACTAAATTATACAAATTATAAGATAAAAATCAATATTTGTTTTCTTTTATTGATTAACTATTTAGATATGCCTGTTTAATGAAACTATAATTATGATAATTAATGTTTTTAGTCATAATAAAAATTTATTTTTTTTATCATCAACAATTGAAAGTAAAAATAATCATTAGGTAAATGGTATTAGAAAAAGTATTTTTGAATTTTAACATTTATAAAATTATTGTTTTACTAATTGATTGAGCACTGAATATTATTATTAAATAATTTGTTTGTTATTCATATATACCTATATATATATATATAAAAGGTATGTATAAAACAATTATATGACTTATTTTCTTCTTTATTCCTAACTTTAAATAAAAATATACATTATATATTATATATTTTATCAATATGGTACATGTTATTGTAAAAATAATTATTTTTTATAAAATTTAATTAATTTTCTAAAAACTATGAAAAATAAAATTTATTTTATTTATTCACTGATTTTTCTTTTACAATTAAGTATTTTGGATATTTAAATTTCGTCAACTTATAACTTATTAATGAAAATTGATGATTTTCTTATTTTAAACTGATATTAATAGTTAAATTTGATAATCTTGACAACAGAAAATTGTAACAAGTATAAAACTATTTAAACATTATTCTTAGTTATTAAAATATATGTTTAAGTAGTATTTTAGTTTATTCATGATTTGATTTTTTTGTTTATTCATCACTTATTACACTTAAATTTGTATCTTAAGTAAATAATAATAATTAAAAAAATATAATATATTAAAATATTATTTATTATAACTTTATATAAAATAAAAATCAGACATTTGTACTGATTAACTGTTAAGAAATTGTGTTTATTTATCTTACCCTCGAAAATATTGCAATAGCCGTTGGTAACCTAAAGACCAAGACTGGTTATTGAACTTTTTAGGTCTATATTTGCCACTAGGATCTTGTTGTTCATCATGATTCAAATTATTTTCATTATTTAATAATGGAGTAATGGATGTTATTACATGTCTATTATTTAAATCTGAATTTTGTGCAATTGTTGTCATATTAACAGATGAACATTGTTTTTGTTGTAGTTGCTGTTGTTGTTGTTGTTGTTGCAACTGTTGTAATGTTAATGCTGAATCTTGACCTAAAAAAAATTGATTACTTATTTTCAATATAAAAATATCTAAGTACCATTTAAAATTACATAATCATAAAAATAAATAAATTTCTATTGCTAATATTCAAATCAGAGTTTTATTGAATTAAAGTTTAACATTTAGCACATTTATATTATAAAATAGAAAAAACAGCTGTAAGATGTTTATTAAATATTTTAATTTTAGAGTCATGTCTTAAATTGATATTTTTTATACTTTTAATTAATTTAAAAATAAATAAATTAATATTTTAATATGCAAATAAACGTTAGATTTTTTATTTTGTAAATATGATAGAAATAAATATGAAATTAAAATGTTATAAATTATATACACATATCTTTGAAATTCCATAAGAAAATAATATTTTTTATTTACCTCTTCTAAAAATAAAAGAAGTTGACTAGCTCTTCATGATTAAAATTTTTTATAACAGTCAGGATAGACATGACATAAACTTTAAAATTGCTGTGTTTCACTTAATTATTTAATATTATTTACCATAATTATTGTTAAAGTGTCGATGATGAATTGGCTGATATATTTGATTCGTATTGTTACGGTAGTTAATTGTTGTTACATCTGGTGTTGTGTGTGCTAATTCATAATGATTATAATAATCAATGTTACTATTAGCCAAATGCATTTTTTCGACTGGTGAGATTGGAGATTTATTGTCTGAAATAATATTCATTTGAGATTTATTGTTTTCAAATTGTTGTATTTCTTCGTCAGATTCTTCGAGTTCATGATTTTCATCTTCAAGTAAGTATTTCTCAATATCATTCACCTTTTAAAATAAATACATTCATAATTTTTTTTTTTTTATATAATTTACATTTAAATGATACATTATTATTTATTACGTACATTTCCATTTGTAATTAATGCCTGGCCCCACCAACTGCCATTATCCAATAAATGTTTATACAACAATGATGCAACAGGTGTTAAATCATTGGAATCGACTTCCAAGTTATTATCTGAAACTTGCGATTGCTCTTGTTGTATCCATAATTGCCGATCACATGATGGACATTTTAAAATATTTCCTTCTTTAAATTGCTTCTTAACATAAGACGATAAACAACGTGCATGTACTACATCTGTTAATTATAAATTGAATAGAAACATCTATAAAATAACCGTTGGTCTATCATGAATAAGTTTTTATTTGAATTAAATAGGGCTCTATATTGTCTGAATAATAGAAAGTTTAAATTAAAAAAATAACCTATGAAATAAACCAAGATAGATATTTAAACACTGTTTAGTAAAAAGAATATGTATTTTAAATTTAAAAATACATTTTTTTTTTGAATAAATCATGGATAAAATAAGTAACTGATAATATATCAATAATAGCTCTTTTTGGTGGGCAAAATTTAAACAAGCTATACAAATTGATATTAATTTAAACCATAGGAACTTAATATTTGTTTTTATAAATTGTGCATGAAAATAATATTGAATATGTTTCCTAGGTTAGGTTTATAAAGTACCAATCTATCTTAAGACCCACACCCACCCATATTATATATACATGAATGTGTTAAAATACAATAAATAATGCAATACAGTATGAGATCCTAAAAAATATAGAATGACTAGTATAGTACAGGCTTAGAACATGATGATTAAGGCACATTTTTATTTACTACATTTGATACTCTTACTGGTTTGAAGAAATTACAGAATTTTGGGATTCTTTTATGATAATACTAATAATAAGTATTATTGAATGGTTGTACAGATTAAACAAGTCCAAATTAATGAGGTCTTACTGTAGTTTTAATTTATAAATTAATGATATATTCAAGAAGATTTACAGCATATTTGATTAAAAATTATAAGAAATTAAATAATCAAATAATACAGGGTCATTATAAGAATTTAATGATACATTTTAATTTAGATTAATGATTTCAAAACTTTTTAGTTGTGCAGACCACTAATTTTGTAAAACAAATGTCGAGGCTAACTTAACTAATAATATAGGGCTCGGATGTTTATGTAATAAAAAATTATCAAATATGCAATCAAAATATGCATAAAAAATGTTATTAAAATTCATAAAGCATAAATATTTCATTTTTATTACTTAATAATTATTTTTATTTATTATTGTTTTTAAATATAATTTTAAATACATTTTTTAAATTTACATAGCGTTTAATTTATTTTAATTTAAATTATTATTTATTAATTAGGTATTAGTGTATTACCATTATGGTATTATTAGTGTTATACTATGCTACTATGGTTTTTTTAATTTGTTCAAATTTGTAACTGCTTCTATTATCGTTAAGTAAATTTTTGTAAAGTGAAAAGCACCGTTCTACATCAACTGATGTTATCTTAGATCTTGTTTAATTAAGTACTGTAATTTTGAACAAATACGATAAGTCGATAATAAACATTTATATTTTACGTCAATATTTGGTAGATTATAGACTGTAGTTACCATCTATAAAATTTATATATACAAATTGTGGAATTAATTGTATTAGTTCGTTAATTAAATTGTTTTTTAAAAAAATGTACTGAAATATGCATTTTTATTTTTAAAATCCCAAAATATGCAATTAAATTACAAAAACATAAAATATGCAAAATAAAAATAATATCATTTGATTCAGTATAACATTAATTAAATTTGCATCCAGGTTAGCATTAAATTGGATAAATAGAACAAAAATATGCAATATTATAAACATCTTAGCCTTACTAATAAAGTAATATACAAGAAAGAATTAAATGTGGAATTATAACCAAATCTAATAAAAATAATTTTAAACGTTTATATTTTACTAAAATAATTTAAAATTTGCAAGCCGTTGATCAATGCCTCTACAGCCCAGTTCTGAGTTACACCTGTAACTCATAGGTTGGAAACTCCTGATTTATATTATAATATACACTATTTACGATTTTAAAAGTTGTATAGGTAACCTTAATATTCTTATTGTATACTTACGATAACATAAAAGACGTAAAGGAGCTTTTGTATTACTTCTAGAATTGTTGAAATTAACTGCTGAACTATCAACTTCTTTTGATGTTAAGACAAATTGTTTTTGACAAATTGCACATAATGCAGCTGCTGTAGCTGTTGATGATGATATACCACCACTGGCTTCTTTCAGCCAGGTGGTATACGATTTAACTGTACACTAGAGCAAAGTTATTATTAAAAGTTAGGATAAAAAATAACCAGAAAAATTATAATTATATTTGTCATGAATAATTACTGTAGTATGGTTGTTGACGATACAATGCTCACAAACATTGACACAATGATGAAAACAAAAATGGCTCGTAGTTTTGCGTTTTGGACATTTACAAAGGCCCATTTTTTAATATAATACTACTACGAATATGGTTGAATGGTAATATTAAATTTGAAAATCTCACCTAAATGTAAGTAACATTTGATGAAAAAATATGTACAGTAAATTAATGAATAGAGTAATTTGTATGAATTTATAATATCAATGATAGAATCTGAAGTTTAATTGAGAGATTGGGACAAAACAAAATCAAATACATACATTAAACATAAAGAAATAGTAATTTATTATAAATTATATTGAATTAAATATTTTTAAGAGGTAGTCATAGAATTTAATAATATAATTAATGATGTAACATGTAAAATGTAATGAATAATGATTAGTGTCTAGTGATAATTGTTAAGGCGTTTTATACTTTTGTACAGTGTAGTCATTATTCTCGGCGTTCAGGTTGATAACGATGATAACAACAAATCAATTTTTTGCTGAAATCTAAACCGATAACAGACAAAATAACGTGATAAATATTTTGTGTTGTGTAGTTAGTAGTTACTAGTTTAGCATTACACGTAGAATAATCTGTCAAAAATTAAAATGCACTTCTTTGATAATAAGTACAGACTTGTGAGTTGTGAGTTCTTGTTGTCAGACAAAAAATTCTAGCCCGTATTTCAAATCAGACAAAAAGTTTGAGGATACAAATTATTAAATTCAAAAAATTTTAAAATTAATAATACCTGATTAAAATACATATTGTTAGTTGTTACACAATTATATTAATATTATGAAACAGTTTATAATTTTATAGGCCAAACTTAGTCAATATTATTATTTATTATGCACATAAAATCAGAATTTTAATTTTTTGAATAAAATAATTTGTATTTTAGGACTAGTATTTTTAATTTATGATTCTGAGCGGAGTGATAATATCGTCTCAATGCCTCTTGTGTGTATTATTATTTTGTCTATGTAGTGTACATAGGTACTTTTATAAGTGAAAAATACTTTAATCTACAACTTTGAGGATTTTAACTGACTACTGTTATTAAACTATACATAGTTACCCTAGTTGTTCTTATAGAAGCTTAAAAATATTAAAAATACGTAGGCAAGTGATTTTTTTAAATTAATTTAAATTGTGAGAAAAAATCATTGTATACAGTAAATTAGTAAAATTTAACATACTTACATTTTCCTTTGTCTCCAGAAATTATATTTTTTAATTAGAATAAAACAGCTAAAATTGTTATATTACTAATTTATAATTTCGTTTAAATGCATATAAAAAAAAAATATATGAATAAATATTTTTAATATTTTTAAATAGTAAGAACAATTTATGTAGGTAAAATTATTAAATTTAAATTATTTTTGTCAAAGCCTGAAATTTTTATCGACATTCAATAAAAAAACTAAAATTAATTCCAAAATTTGATAATCTTGTATTAAATACATACTACTTAGTTATAAGTATTTTCAAAGTTTTTTTTATTTCCAAAAACAAATCTTAATGAAAATCTTTTAAAAACTTGTCATGGTTTATTTCTCATAAACTAAAATCGAATTACATAATAATTAAATTGAAAAAATGTGTTGAATTACTAAAATATTTAAAAACAGTACAAAAATAGCCAAAATATTTAGAAAATTATAATGTCTATAGGAATAGCGATATTTGAGGTGAGATAGTGAGTTAGTAAACGAATATCAATAAATTATATATTGGTTATTGGCAATGATAGTTAATAAACTTTTTTTTGTTTTGTTTTTGTATCTAACGTTTATTATATTTTTATATAGAAATAGTGAAAATGCTTAAATTCTCAACTTTGAGCGTGTTAACTGGTTTCTGGTAACATATTGGATCTAGTTGATACTTTTAAATATTCTTAGTACATATTTCTTAACAATTAAGAAAAACTGAAAACTATAACTTTAAACAGGAATAATTCCCAACACTAATTTAAAATAAAATTGATTTTGCTCTTTAGTTGTATTTTATAAACAAAAAAAATTTCTAAATATTTTATATTAATAGCAGATGTTTAAATATGATATTACTTACCTGAAGATAATTTAGATTTTATATACAATTTATGTATTATTAGAATATTTTCAAGTAACATATCTCGGGTATTAAATACAGGTTGCCTAATAAGTTTTTTTTATCAGTTATTATAATTAAAAATAAACGTTTTAAATTTCTATGAACTTTTTTAAAATCGATAAATATAAATTATACTGTATAATAAAGCTTCATAAAACTTTTTACTTAAGACTTGAATAGATAATACAGATTCTTCTAAGTTTTTTTTATAGTTTTAAGGGTATAGCATAATATATGGATACTCAAAATGATTGTTTAACATAAAGATAATAGATAATGTAATTCAACTTGACTCTAACATTTTGTTCTTAAAAATAGCATTGTTATAATTTTTAGATCTTTATACTATATATATATATATATATATATGTATATATCAATTCAAAATTCAAAATTTAAAAATTAAAATTAATTAATATGAGGTAAGCTTGTCAAAGATTTTGCGTTATTATAGAGTGGTTTAAAAAAGCTGTGTAAATTATATTTTTGTTAAAGAATATACAATATGAATCAATTTTTTTTAAAATTGAAGATATTGTAAGTTGAAATACATTAATTATTAATGTCTAAAATATATAAATGTTGTAAATCAAAAAAATGTTTAATATTAATTCAAAAATGTATTTAAAATCAAACTGTTTTACATGTCATCAAAGTTACCAATTGTATATTTTGATTAATCTAAAAAAAATTGGAATTTCAGCAACAAGATTAAATGGAAATTAAGATTTACAATGATCTGTTCAATATATGCTATAAAAATTATGAACAAATAAAAGTATAATATATTAATATTACATGTTTTGGTATCTAAAAAATTAGTATTATCTTGATAAAGAATTAAACATAAAGCTTATTTTGATTCATACAGTTATGTTACATTAATATCCTAAAATAGTAATTAATTTGAAGTAATTTTTAAGTTAAGATACTAAATATATAATTCTCCCATTAAAGATAATAACAAGGGACAAAAACGTCTGAAAAATATAATTTAAGTTAAAATTTCAAATAACTATAACAATTTTTTAATTTTTTTTTATCTTAATTCTCTAGTAAATTTAATAAAAAGATAAATAAATAAGCAATTGCAACTTTAAAAATATAAATTCAAATTTATATTAGGACTTAATTTATAATTAAATTAATATTTATTACAAATAATCATATATACGAACTATTAAAATATACATATTAAATAGCTTTACAAAATTGTATATAACGTGGTATTATTTATTTATTAACACAATTTATATGTAACTATTAAATTTCTTATTAAGAAACCAAAAATTAAATTGATTACGCTATTAAATATATAAAAATATAACTGTCTATACATATTTCAGAATGTGTAATATGATAGATTGTTACAATTATTGTCCTAAAAGGTATCATACCAATAAAGACAATTAAAATATATAAAACAAAAATATGAATATTATGTACACAGTTTTTAATAACATAAATTGAATTACTCCATGGAAAAAATAATTTTTTTGAAAAGTTTTCATGTTATATTCATCTCATAGTAAATGTTAAATAAGATATTAGGTACCATGTAGTTATTGGTTGAATGGCCACTGCTAAAATTAGGAAGTATAATGTCCTCTTACGCTTATATTCAACCATTACTACTGGTTGGCCAACATTAGTAACGGTTGCAACTGAATTCAACTGCCATCTCATTGAAAATAACTAAAGATTAAAATAGTTGAACATTTTATAACAATAGTTCATCTTAAGAGTTATTTAAAAATATATTACCAAAAAGTATATAAATGCAATTCCAATGTATAGTAAGGAAAGATAAAAAGCAGTTTCGCCTAAAAGTAATCCAATTGGAATACAGCTTATAATTCTGTAAATAAAGAAATATTAATATGATATTATTTAAATTAAAACATATTAAATAAAAAGTATGATAAAGATAGTTTTAATACAAATTATATGATAAAAGAAGAGATTTCATAAACACTTTTAACAATTACATACCCAAAATACTTGTATCCTGAATAAGCTGTTAGGTCAAAAAAACGTAGTGAACTTTGTATATTTGTAACATATAGTGCCAATATTTCCATCAAAACTACTATTACTTCCCAAGCAAGAACACGAGAAGCCTGTACACTTAAAAGTTCTGGGCTAAATTGTCCATGTTTACCAAGTATGAGACCCAAAAAGAGTAAATATCTGTAAAATTATCAATAATTTAATTTTGATAGATAAATTAGTAAAACAGTTATGTTAATCTTACGTTACAAAAGCTACAGTAGGAATATAAAGATCTGGTGCATTGACATCTGTTTTTGGTCTTGCTCGTCGACGATCATCAGCTTGCCCTGTTGGTTCCAACATAATTGACCAATCCTTAAAAGCAATTAAGTTAACTTTATTATTCAGTATATTTTAAATCAATGGCTTATTTTATTTAGAAGATTTATTTAAAGTATATTTAATTTAAAATAAATAACCATTTTTTTTTTTTTTTGTTAACTTACTGTATGAGCAAATGGAAATAATAATAATCCAAGTTTGGAGATCACATAACGGGTATCTACAGCAAAATAACGTTTTATTTCTGAACTTATTCCACTTGTATATTTTCCAACATTTTCATCAACAACTTGTCCTAAAATTTTTTGTCCATATCGCACAGTAACTCCTGCTAATAGAGGATTACTTCCAAACGCATCAACTAAATTATTTGAAGGGTTAAACATCATTGGTTGAGTTGGTTGAGGGCTTGGACCGGGGCCTAAAATTATAAATAAACTATTAAAGTATCTAATTAAAACATGATATATACATGGTAAGAGAAATCATGTGGTTACATAAAATTTGTAAACATTAATTACTTTAAAATAACTAATATTAACAAAAATTAATACAGTATACCAAAAAATAATAACTAATAGATAAAAATAATTTAATTTTCTATGAGGAATAAATGATAAAATATTTTTACAAATTATAAAATATTAAATGAAAAACAACTGTCCTTTATGCTTAAATTAATATAATAAGTTCTAGAATCTATTAATAAGTATAAAAATATAACATTTTCAGAAATATAATTTATTAAAAGCTGATAAAAAGAATAATATATATATATATATTTTTAAATTTGAATAAAGGAAATTTAATATTGTTAACATTAAATATTTAATTAATGAACATATAAAATGATTTGGATTATAGTTGTGATTTATGTAAAGTATAGAATTCTAATTTCTAATATAATTTATTAACAAAGTGATTCATAGATTTTGTTGACAAATAGTAGTAATTTAAATTAAATCAATATAGCAATACTCAGGTCAATCGCACAAAATTGTAATAATCTGAGTGCGATTGTATTAAATAGGGATAAGTTTTCTGTATACAATACTTTATTTATGAGTTATGACTTATGACATTATCATTTAAATAGGACTAAAGTTCTACGAAACAAACATGTTTCAAAATAACAGTATAAAAGAAGAAACAATATTGTATAGATTTAAATTTTTGTAAATGGATATTAAGTTGGGAAATAATGAAATAGTAAAATAATAACCATAATCCTTATTTTTTAGGTAAGGTTTAATTTAAGAATTATTGCTAAGGACTGTATAAATTATGATACAATTAGTGTATTATACATTTGGTTTCATATTAAACTTAAATTATATTAATTTTGATAATAAAGCATTTGACAGAAGAATAGTTATTTACAGGAAATACACACAGCAGATATTAATACACAATACAGTATTTTAAAAGGAAAATATGAAAAATAAATGTATTAAAATTATAATGAAATAATAAGGAGTAGAAAATTAAAATTCTCATAATAGGCTTGTATAAACTGTACAGAGTTATAAGGTGATGATTTAAATTTTTTACTGCATACTTTTGAATGTTATATAATTAATATCATATTTTATTTATAAATTTCTATTACTCATGTATATTTTACTGGAAATAACTAATTTCTTCTTTATTATTTCAATAATTATTATAAAGTTCAATACAAATTTATGTGTAATATACTCAAAAGTGATGTCAAAATTTATAAAGTCTAGAGTGATATTTTCCAAATCTTAATTATTCTTGAAAAATACAGCTCTAGAATATAAACAACAGTTCCTGTTTTTTCATATTTAGATGCTGGAAACTGTTAATGGTGAAAACAATGAATATAAAAAATTGTATAGACAATTATAAAAAAATATGTTCCTGATATTCAACAAAATAATTTTAAAGTATCTATGAAATTTAAGTAAATGATCTATGTTATTAATTAAATATTTATAATTTAATTTAAAACTAAATTTATAATTAGGTGGTTAAATATTATTTATATGAAGTTATATTACTATCAACGGTCACTCATAATAAATATTATATGTTTATATTTTTGTTGCAATTATTGTGTTTGTAATAATTAGGGCTAGGATTTATATGTATTTATGAAATTAAAATATGTATTTATGCTACCAAAATATGTACATAAATATGTGCTAAAACACTCAAAATATGTATTTTACTAATATGATTTATTTATTAATATTTAATTATTTAATATATTCATATGAGTTACTAATGAAACAAATTATATTTTAAATAGCAAAATTATTAAGAAAATGAAAAAAATATAAATAAAAAAAATTAATTATCTTGATTATATTTATGATCACACGCATTTTTAAATTTTCAAATTCATAAGACCTTCAATTTGGTCATAAAACTGCTTTATAACAACTAAATAATCCTTCGACTTCTACTAATGTTATTGGACAGTATTTCATTTTGACTATGTCTGAAAAAGTAAGTTCTACATTCAATGAAAATTCAGGAGAACGTCTATTGCAGAGAATACTTTTGATAGCTATTAATAAATCATAAATAAACAAATTGTTGTCATATGTAGGAAAAAATGGAATTATTGAGAAATATGTAAAAACATGTACTTATGGCAAAAGATGTAAAAATATGTAAAATAAAATATAGTTAAATTTATTGGAAATCCCTTAAAACGAATTTATCACTTATTTAAATTTATTTATCAAGTCACAGCAAAAATATGTATTTACATATAAATCCGACCCCTAGTAATAATTTATACTATGGATAATTTCTACTTTCTATATCTGCAAAAAATGTCTACTGTGATAACACCATATTACTGTTTTCATACATAACATAATTAAACACTTTTAAAGTAGCTATATTTTTATCAATACATATAAATTATTAATAAGTTATTAATTACTTGGCGAATAATGTTGCCGGTGATTTATATTATCTGTTGGCATTGATCCAATGTATCCGAAATCGTTATTTCCATATCCATGTTGTGGTTGCGAGGGAATTGATGTAAAGTCATTGTAATAGAATTGTTGTTGAGATGGTATTGTTTGAGGTTCTTGTGGTGGAGAGTACATAGTTTGTTGGGCATAGTTGTACTGCACTTGTTGTGGAGGTATACTATTTACATCTAAACCAGGTGTTTCCATAGGTCGTCGCGTTAGACGTTTATTGTTGCTATTACCCGACATAGCTAATCAAAGGAAAATAAAAGTATACACAAAAGTTTATTATAGTATAATATACTAACATATATATGACTCACTATTGAATGTATTGTCGTTATAACTCATTACTTTATCAATTAAAGTTAGTAATTGTGAGTTAATTTATAAAATGGCAGAGAGAAAGCGCATGTGATAATGAATATTTATATAATATTCAAAACAAATATTGTACTAATGAAAATAATATGAAATATGTAAGTTAAACGAATAACAACTCAAATTTCGTCAATTTTACTTCAGTTCGCGATCAAAAATTAAAACACTAAATGATGGGACAATACTATAAAATATTATGTTCTATCCCACTAATCACTATCGCTATTCGCTATCATTATACACGTTCCTGACTCCAGTGGCCGCGTAAACGATAAATAAACTGATAATTGAATAATAAAATATCGTTTTTGATATGTAGACTTGAGAACCAGGGTATTGGTAGTGCCGCTATTACCGCAACGTTAGAGTTGTAGTCATATCGGTTATGTCTTATAGCCAATGGGCGTCTCTTATCTCACTTGTAACGTGCCAGCGTACGTTACTAGTTCTTCAATAAATTGGTAAATAAGTGATAGTCATTTCGATCGGTTGTCAGCTTGATCACCTATTCGCCTTTTTTCATTCGCCCATCGCTTCGACTTGGCGTCTTAGCACAGTGGCTCACTCACGCGACTACACCACGAGTCATACTCGCTCGGTGTGACAGTCATTGCCGTTTTTTGTACATCATTCTTATTTCTTACTTAGTTTTAAATCGTCGCTACTCGTATTAATGTACAAGCGTGTTTTTGGTGGACATATAGTGAGTTAGTACTTTCATCGTAGGATTCGTCTTTTGGTTCGTACGGACGTACACGCCGTCGAACCAAAGGTAAGCATTGAACTAATTTATTTCTAACCGCCAAACATTTGTGTGAAATTTAATTAACGCTTTCTCAGTCGATGTTGTTATATTTTGTTCTCGCGATAATTTACGACGTGCGGAGCCGTGCGTATTTGAGTTGTTTTGTTTCGGTTTAAAGTTGTGGTTAATTAAAAGTGATGGTGATCGCTAAATCGACTAAACAAGCTATAGTAGAAAGTGTAATGTTTTCGGGTAAGTCATAATCATGAGGAATATAATGACGCCATTTTATCCGCGTTATGGACTATAGATCAACCTGATCGGAACATTGGTGCTTTACTATTGTGTAATATTCGACCATTTTCTGTTGTTATTTAATTGTCGTTAATACATTTAACATCATTCGTGTTTTTAATATTATTGCTCAAAATGTTCGAAACAAATTAGGTGTTTGGGATTGATAAAGTCCATAATTTTTTTGGGGCAAGTCGTATTCATCGTGACTATTACTTGAAGCGAGTTTAAGGACGCCATTTTTTTATTCGATTATCATTTTCGTCAACAACAGATAGGTTAGCCTGATCAAATTTCGGCGCTAAACTATTAACTTTCTTCATATTGTCGTTTAATATTCGATATTTTTATCGTCAATTCATCTTTAAAAAATATTTTGCGTTTCTAGACACGAAACCCTTTGTTTTGATATATTTTAAACAGCCCGCGCACGACGTCGGCGACTTGCCGCCCGTGTCGATGCCGGTTTTTTGTCACTTGAAAATTCGTAGGACAAACAGCTTAGAGAAGTAGAGTACGCGGCACCGTTTATCAGTACCGTGGCGTCGGTCGATACAATATTACCACCCGTCACACTGCGTTTTGTCAGGTATACTAGTAATGATCGGACGCTATTCTTCAAGTGTGGGGTACAAAACTACCAAGTAAAAACTCCGGTTCGTCAGTTGTACTAATTGTACTGTTTTATTCCTGCTATCTTCTCCTTCGTTTCTTTTTCGGTGCCATTTTTTAACGTTTACGTCGGTTGGTGTGGAAGTGTGCGAGGCATCGTTTTCCCTGTCGTATCGTTATTTGTTAATACTTTAATTTTCAACGGCGTCGTACATTCGTTTGTTATACAATAGCAGCTGTCCAGTGATCGTCTTGTTCGTGTAATTCAACAACACTCATTAATTTTTTAATTCTTTTTACCTGGTTGTTACGTAATTCTTTTGGGCGGTACACATAGCACAGTCGTTTTGTGAAGAACGTTCAAATTTTCTGTCTAGTTTTATTCTTTACAAATAATCATTCATTTTTTAAGTAACTTTATTGTTTGGTATATTCACATTTATTTATTTATAATGCTAGTTATAATAAGTGTTTATCATAATATGAAGTGATCAAATATGACACTGTTCATTTATTTTTTAATTATTATTAATTAAAATGTAATATTTATATATTTTCTACGTTGAAAAATTCTTATTAGGAAAGTATAGATATATACAACATAAAAACATGTACTATTGTTAAATACTGAACACTAATATAGATAGAATTTGTACCATTTAGTTAAATAAAAGGTAAATTTACTCTAATATTAAAACTAATAAGGTTAAATGTAAACTTTTGAGCATAGAAAATGTTCAGTTTGGAGTAGTAATTGATTCGTATAGTTATTAATTTTCATCGTACCTTGAATTATTAAATTTCTTGAAGTTCTAAGGCATTTTTTAAAAATTCATTCCCATTAAGTCTTTGATATCTTGATTGTATTTAGATTTCAATTTATTAGTTACTGATTTAAATTCTTAATTATTCGGTAACAACCTTAGACCTAAGTATCTATTTATACTTCGTTCCAAATATGATGACAACAGGCTGTGGATGAAAATTGGTGAAAACCTGCATATGTCTCTACCATAAATAGTCTCTGCCGCCAATTGTTTTGGCAGAACAACTTTTCTAACGATAATTGCAGTTAACCTGTGGTGACCAATCACAAAATTATTAGACATTGCTTAGGGAGTTTGCAATTTGTTCTGTGATTAATTTGTTTACGCTAAAATGGTGGAACTAAGTATAGTTGTTTTTAGCTAGGTTTATATACAGTGGTCGCCGTTTAATGTAATCACTTTGGTACGGGACATAACTGATAACATAATCCGGTTGATAACATTAAACGAAAGTTAAAAAAGTTATAAAAAATAATAAAATCTACGTTAAATACATAGTTAATAAAAATATAATTTTTTTATTTATTATTATTTATTTATAATTAAAGTACATATGTAGGTATAAATTGGAAATTTAAAATTTAAAAAATAAAAAATTAAATGTAAATAAATAAATATGTATAATATGTATGTACACCACTAACATTTATATCTTTATTATGAGACATTGATTTTATGAACTCAAACTGATAATATTATGCGGCGTATTGATTACAAAAACCGACATAATTTACACATATAACTATAGATCCGGCCCGTACCTATACTTTTCGATAACAATAAACGATTGATAACATTAACCGTGATTATAATAAGCGGCGACCACTGTAATTTTGTTTATATTTTAGTCATTACTTTGATGGTGGATTTATATTGTATAATTTAAAATTGCAAATATTTATTTAACATTAAACTTTAAATTTTGTTTTCTATTGATTTTCAATGATATTATTAACGTTCTATTAGTTATAGCCATAAATATAAATTTTTTTTTTAGATAAAATGGGTCTCTGTTTTCTGTGTGATGCAAAATTGTATGGTGAACGGACACGTGTATGTTCAAGTATTACACCACACAGTAATGTACCATATCCAGAAAAGATAGTTGAGCTTCTCGGAGATGAATTTGTGGTTATTGTAACTCCTGCTGATCACATGTGCAAAAAATGCACTTCACTTTTAACTCATATGGACAAGTTAGAAAATGATTTGAAACTTGTTAAAAATGCAATGTTGTCATATATTCAGAAAAAGTATGGAATATTGCCTCCTGATCAGGCTGTCAAGGGTGTTGAGGTAAGGATATTATCTACTTAAAAAACAAACTACTAATATTATGTTATGAAAAACATTTTTTTATCTTTTATTTAGATTGTCAATGGACACTTAAAGGCAGAGGAACAACTAGAACAGGGTCAGCGTAAAGTGCCTAGTGGTCTGACAGTAGGAATTTCTCCTACTGTGACTACTGGTGCTGTTGTTACTTCAGTACAAACTCCATTAAAATTGTTAAAAACACAACAGCAGCAGCAGCAGGTACACCAACCACATCATCAACAACAACCTCCACAACAAGATGGTGCTAACAAAATGAAAATATACAAATGCGGTTTTTGTACTTTCCAATCAAAAGAGCTTGGACATGTTCGGTATGTTTATTATTTAATATCGTTTTAAAGATATTACTTAAACTTTTATTATAGATTCCACATGCGCACTCATATGAATAAAAAAGAACCTGAAAAACCTATTCTTAATCAATCAGCAGCTAAAGCATTAACTCCGGTAAGAAATAATACACTATTACTATATTAAGTTTTATGTTTTTAACACATGAAAGACAAAACATAGGTTTTTCTTTTTAAATGTTGTAGACGATGGACTTGTTTTACTAGTCCATTCTATTTTAATCGAATGGATAAAGATTGGATATTTATGAATTGCATTTGAGATGAACGACTTGTCTTGCTAATTAGTAGAAAATTGACAAATGACTTATTTAAAAATTTCTTGGATTTTATATATCGGTATAAAGTTTCATTTTTGTCACATAAGATTATAAATTATTTATATCTACAAATTATTTAATATCAATATTTACCACGTAATACGTACAGAAACAAAGAGAAACTGACTGTCTTTGTAACTAAAGCAAAACAAGTAGACACGTAATAAAAGTCTCTTGTCCTTAACATTTTAGAAAAATGTGATTATCACCTGTTCATTTAAAATCATAGATGAGTTCTACTCCAATAACAACATTTGTTTTACTTTCAAAATTTTCATTAATTCGCTTATATTCAGTTAACTAGTAATTTAAATTATATTTATATTCAATTATATTCAATGCAATTTGAATCTTGTTGCTGTTATCCTTTTTTATTCCATATACTTATAATTTTATAATATTAACTATGGTATTTAAGTTGTTATTTATGATATTTAATTGTAACATCATTTTTTTTATTCATTAAATATTTCATTTATTATTATTATAGTAAATGATTATAGCTAATAATTTGCTTTACAAATTTGATCTCTTAATTGATATATATTTAAACGTAAATTAGGTACCACAACAAAAAAAACGACTTTATAGATGTCAAGTATGTTCCAAATCATTTGATAGTCGAATGAATTGTCTTGATCATATTCAGAAAGACCATAATCAGCCAACTGCATCAACATCAAATGGGGTAAATAATAAATTTAATTTCTTATCAAATTATTTCATGTCTTACTAATTAATTTTAATTTTTAGGAAAGAGAAACTGAAGATTCTCGACCAGTTACTACAACTAAAACTATTAAGTCAGAACCTCCCAAGATTCAAGAAAATAATCAGCAGGCGGAGACTCCAATGGATATAGACGATAATCAAAGAGGTAACAAACCAGGAACTGTAAATACTGATATGATGTTGAATGACAATGTCCCTACTGAAGGATCTGTTGATCCTGAACCAGAAGAAACAGAAAATGCAGGCGAAGAAGAAGAAACAGAAAATTCTCCGGATGATAAAACTGTAAAAGAAGGTAAGTTAATCAAAAAATCTGCACCTGGGCAAGAAGAAACTACTGGAGAAGAGGAGGATGAAGAAGATACTGCTGTGCCAGAACAAGAAGAAGCTGATCAAGAAACTCCGGACAGTGTTGAGAAAGACGTTGATGAAGACCATGTAAATGTGGAGAACAAAACAGGAGACTTGGACATAGAATCGATGTTGGCAGCAATTCATAATGATAATCCCACTAATAGTGAAGATTCACAAAACAAAGCTTGAGGTTTTTATATCATAAGTTAATAATCATCAGTTTTATATTTAAAAAAACCAATTTCATAGTTTATAATTTTTAATTTTTCATTGATTATTATCTTAGGATTTATTTTTACATTCTCTCAGTTACTATTTTGAAGTGACTTAGTTTAGGAAATTTATGTTATTCAATATGATAGTAGAATTAAAACCAACTTTTTTTTACATAAATCAATAAAATTTAAATAAGGAGTATATTTAAAAAACAACAAATAAGTGAAGATGAGAATTTTTAAATAAAGAAAAATCAATATTTATTATATCATCTATACCATGACCAATAAATATAGTAAAATATAACTAAAATTTACATTATATGGTAAAGTTATAAAAAAATTCAAAAAAAGTTACTCTCACATTTACAATCTAATTTTTTATTTTAAACATGTACTTAAGTAAATGAATGAATTACCTTTAAGTCAGGTTCAAAAAAAAAAAAAAAAATTCAATCATTGTCAACTTATCAACCAATAATAAAACAAAATTCTAAACAACCTAGTAAAAAATTTAAATCTTAAAGAAATAAATATATCTTAAAGCAATTATTAATTTCAGTTCATTATTTGTAATTATTATAATACAATAAATTTTAAGTTAGAATCAAGTAATATTGTTTAGATCATGAATCTATAAAAATCCATTACTTTTTATTGCCAAGAAAATTTTAGAAGCATAAAAATATACCAGAATCATTTCAAAGTTCTAATCATTTTATTTTAATCTTTTATTAAGAATAAATTACAAAAACATTGTATAATAAAATAAGATTCTTAAAGTACTATGTAAATAAATTATTATTTTTAAGCCCTTTTAATATTTTAAATGTATAGGTTAGTATTAGGTAATATTGTTCAAATATTGAAGTAATGCATTATTTCCTCTTATTACTTTTAGTACGAGTCTGACACATTAATATGCAAGAATTTTTGTCACAGTTTTCTTAATTTCTGTTTATTTGGTAGTATTATTAAAATTAATCTGACCTAGTAGAGTGTAAAATTAACATTTAAAAGAATTGAATAAAATAAATTAAAATCAAAAATAATTATTACTTTTTAAGCTTTTAATATATTTTAAATAGTTAAGTTAAAACTCTATAATATTGTTTAAATATTGAGTAGAGCAAAAGGCCAATTATTTTTAAGACAAGTTCTGAGGAAAATTAGTATGTAAGAATCTTTGTCATAGTTTTGCTATTTTTTGTTTATTTGATAATATTATTAAGATTAATCTGAACTAGTAGAGCATAAAATGAAATTCTTGAAGTTAGAAAAAAAAATTTCAAAAAATTTCAAAATTATAATCCAAAAAAAAAATGTTAATTTTTAAACTCTTATAATATTCTAAATTTTTATGTTAAATTTAAGAATATTGTTTAAATATTGAGTAACTTACTTAATACCATAATTTACTATTATACTTCGTTCAGTTGCATTGCTAATCAGATTCTAAGTATAGTGTATAATTTTAATGAAAAATTAGATATAAAATCTTATATATTTAAGTTAACATCAAGTAATATTCTTCGAATATTCATGTAATCAATTCACTTTATATATAAGACAGTTCAGAGGCAAATAATAGTAGAATCTTTGTCATAGTTTTATTATTTTTTTGATTTGATAATATAAGATTAATCAGATTCTAAGTATAGTGTATAAGTTTTAATGAAAAATTAGATATAAAATCTTATATATTTAAGTTAACATCAAGTAATATTCTTCAGATATTCATGTTTACAATTCTTTATATATTTTTAAGACAAGTTCTGGCATACTAATTTGCAAGAATCTTTGTCATAGTTTTATTTTTTGTTGTTTGATAATATTAAGATTAATCAGATCTAAGTATAGTGTAAATAAATTCTATTATGAAAAAATAAAATTAAAATTTAAATTAAATAAATAATAATTTTTAGGTATAAAATTTAAATATTTAAGTTATTACTAAATAACATTGTTCAAATATTGTCATAACTGCAAAATCTACTTATTTTTATTTTTAGGACATGTTCTGAGCAATTATTATGCAAGAATCTTTGTCATAGTTTTATTTATTTTATTGATTCGATAATATTAGATTAATCAGATTCTAAGTATAGTGTATAATAAAATTAGGTTAAAAGAAAAATTAGATATAAAATCTTATATATTTAAGTTAACATCAGTAATATTCTTCGAATATTCATATAATCCAAATCCTTTATATAATTTTAAGACAAGTTCTGAGGCAAATTATGCAAGAATCTTTGTCATAGTTTATTAATTTTATTTATTTGATAATATTATTAAAATAATCAGATCTATGTATAGTGTAAATTAAAATTTTAAAGAATTTAATAAAATAATTTAAAATCAAAATAATTATTACTTTTAAGCTAATATTTTAAATAGTTAAGTTAAACTCTATAATATTGTTCAAATATTGAGTAGTGCAAAAGGCCAATTATTTAAGACAAGTTCTGAGGCAAACTAATTTGCAAGAATCTTTGTCATAGTTTTATTTATTTATTGATTCGATAATATTAAGATTAATCAGATTCTAAGTATAGTATATTATACAATTCTTAGGTTATTAATGAAAAATTAGATATAAATTTTATATATTTAAGTTAACATCAAGTAATATTCTTCGAATATTCATGTATTGCAATTCCTTTATATATTTTAAGACAAGTTCTGGCATACTAATTTGCAAGAATCTTTGTCATAGTTTTATTATTTTTTGTTTATTTGATAATATTAAGATTAATCAGATCTAAGTATAGTGTAAAATTAAATCTCATAGTAATGAACAAAATAAAATTTAAAATTTAAATTATAATAAATAATAATTTTTAGGTATAAAATTTTAAATATTTAGTTATTACTAAATAACATTGTTCAAATATTGTCATAACTGCAAAATCTACTTATTTTTATTTTAGGATGTTCTCAGGCAAATTATTATGCAGAATCTTTGTCATAGTTTTATTTATTTTTATTGATTGATAATATTAAGATTAATCAATTCTAGTATGTGTATAATAAATTATTGAGTTATTAATGAAAAATTGATATAAAATCTTATATATTTAAGTTAGTTAAATCAAGTAATATTCTTCAATATTCATATATCAAATCCTTTATATAATTTAAGACAAGTTCTGAGGCAAATTAATATGAAAATCTTTGTCATAGTTTTATTAATTTTTTTATTTGATAATATTATTAAAATTAATCAGATCTATGTATAGTGTAAAATTAAAATTTTAAAGAATTTAATAAAATAATTTAAAATCAAAATAATTATTACTTTTAAGCTTTTAATATTTTAAATAGTTAAGTTAAACTCTATAATATTGTTTCAAATATTGAGTAGTGCAAAAGGCCCAATTATTTTTAAGACA